AGGATCATTTCCCTGGGGGTGCTGAGAGGGTGGCCTTTCTAATCTCCTTTTTCACTGGTGACGCCAAGGACTGGGCCGTCTCAGTCACCCAGGAAGGAAGCCCCCTGCATGCCAACTTCCCGCGCTTCCTGGATGAAATCCGTAAGAAATTCTGTGGCCCCATCCCCCAAAGTGTGGCGAAAAAGGCCATCCGCAAGCTTAAGCAGGGAGACTGTACCCTCGGCAGCTATGCAGATGCTTTTCAGTTCCTGGCCCAATTCTTGTCTTGGGATGACTGCCGCCTTCAAAACCAGTTCCTCAAAGGCCTGTCAGAATTCTTCCGCAAGGAGCTCTTGTGGTCAACTGAAATGGCTGACCTGGACGAGCTGATTCTTGAATGTGTGGAGATAGAAAGAAAAGTGCGTGTCCCCAAGCCAATCCCGCTCCCTGGGGTTCGCAATGTCTTCTTCCCTTTTGCTGCAGACCCTAATGTCGAAGGCAGTGGAGAAGAAGAGCGCTACAGTGAGGATGAAGATGCAGAGGTGCGCAGGCGCAGGCTGCTCGACCAGGACCAGCGGAGGCGTGTGAGAGCTATTCAGCAAGAGATGAGGGAGCAGGAGGAGAAGAGGAAAAAGGAGGAAGAGATGAGGAAGGAGGAGGAGATGAAACAGAAACAGGAGGACGACGACGATGAGGACGAGATAGTCGTGGTGGATGACGTGGACGAGGAAGAGGAAGAAATGAGGAAGAAGAATGAGGGTGAGAAGGATGAGGGCCAGGAACCAGGGCAGGAGCCAGAGCAGGAGCCAGAACAGGAGGAGGAGACGGAGGATGAGGCCCAGGATGATGACCTAGATGAGTTCATGGACGTAGAGCCGACCTTTGCCAATGCTTCATCCCAGACTTCTGGCTACTATCATGAAAATTTCCTAGATACGTCGCCTCCCATAATACAGCCCAGCAGACGGAGGAACCAAAATCGAGTCCCACTGCTGGAGGGCCTTCCAGGTACCAATTCGCCCTTCTACAGTTCACCACCACTGATTCGCCGGGCAGGTCGGTTGGGACAACGCCAAACTAGAAGACGGCCCCCGGTGCTATTCCGCCTCACTCCAAGACAGGGGGGCCACCGGGCTGCACGTGGCCGAATTCGAGTGTGAGTGCTGGGGCAAGATAGCCACCCAGAACACACCCTTCCACTGCATCCCCTGCCCCTGCTATTGCTGCCACACCTGCCCCATTTTCTGACCAGTACTTAAGGGAGTTCCAGACCTGAAGAACCTAAAGAAGACCTGTAGAACTCGAGACCATCTTGCAGCCATGACCACCTAGGAAAGGAGGAGTCAGCAACAGCTATCCTCTTGACTGTGCACTCTGATCAGTCCTGCCACAAGCTAGCCAGCAGGTTTCTGGGCCCATTCCCATAAATAAACTGGTCACCCCCTCATATTTCCCCTCTAGTTGTTCCTAACCCTGTGTTTTATGGTTTTATCAACTTTGACTGGCTCACCAGGACTTCACCCAATGCCTCACTGATCTGCCCCAATGAGTGAAAGGATGGGCCACACTGAACTCCTAATGCCACTGAGGCCACTTGATAGATACAATCTACAGAGAGCAGGATGGGATCAAGAAATGTGCCTAGAAGCCTACACTTGCTTCAACCTCCAGCAGAAGGACCCCAAAGTGGATCCTATATATATAGTGCAGTAAGGGTGGGCAAAGCCACATGTCAAATGGACATTTCACTGAGGTTTGTCCTTGACTAACTGAGCAAGCTAGTTCACCCTTCCCACAGACTACTGTGTCAGGGTCCTGGACCAGCTCACCAAATCTGGGGCCCTCCCTTCTTACCATACTGCCCTCCCAGGCATCCACGGTGGACAGAACCCAGCATTATTCCTTTCTTTGATGTTGCCTGGAAGATGGGGGAGGAGGAGGAGGAGGAGGAAAAAGGAGCAACAACTCTGACATTGTGAAGAGTGACTCTTTCCTTAGGGATGGTCTCCTCCCTAGGCAAGTCTTGGAATGCAGCCCCCAGCCAAAGGTCTTTGCAGGAGACTTGCCATCCTTGGGGGTTCACAAGAGGCCTAACTGGCCTTTTCTTCCCAGACCAACACGGAGAGAGAGGGCCCAAGGCCTGCTCTTTAACTTCAATTTAAAGGATTCCTTCGTTCTCAGAAGAGAGAGGAAGTTTCTCTCTACAGAGACTGCAGCCTGGCAGCCAGGCCATCCTCAAGTCTCTCACATGAGGGGCAAGCCATGGCCTGATGCTGTGCTTCAATTAGATGGTAAGGCTGGAGAAGGTGACTGCCTCCTAGTAACTCCTGGGACTTCTGGGTACAAACCTAGGGACCTTTATAAAGAATCCTGCTGCTTGCCATGGGTCCAGAAAACATTGCTTCTGCAGTGGAAAGGACACACTGTGTCACTGGCCACAGAATGCCAGCCAGATCCACTGCTGGCCTGAACTGCCCTCAACACTGAGCTTCCTGCACAGTGCCTGGCAGCTGGGCAAGTGCAGCCAAATTGTCTGTAGCCAGAGGGAAGAAAGCACAGTAAATCAAGCCTCTGTGCCTCACTGGAGTCTGGCAGATAACCTCAGCCAAGCCTTAGGATTTTGACCCTGGAAGCAAGAGGAAGGTGCTGGAGGAAGAGGAGTCACAAAGAAACCCAGTCTGCTGGTTGGTTGACGGTGAGGTCTGAATTCCTCAGTGGAAGGTAAGAAACCCTTTTGTTTATCATACATTTATTGGCCTGGGGATCAGTAGGCCCGGTTCCTATAACCTGTTGCTACCTTTTAAAAAGGCTTCCCCCTCCTCCAAAGAGAAAAGTAATGCATAATCATTATAGAAAATTTGGAAAACAGAGAAAACTATAAGGACAGAAATTATCCCAAACATTCAGAACCCCGCTACAGAGACGCAAGTACTATAAACAGTTTGCTCCCTTTCTCTCTAGTGTGTTTTCAGTCTGTCTTTTCAAAGCTGAGATCATCTTGCAAGCTCATGATTAGCAGGATTTAAAATGGCTGCCACCTATGTAGTGGTGCACATTGAATAATTGAAAATTTAAGTATTCTCCTAATTCGTGGGACATTTCAGTAGCCTGGTTTTCCTCTTCCCCACCAGTGCAGGAGTGAACAACACTGGAAAGAAATTTTTATCTGTTTTTCAGCTATTTCCTCAGGAGAGAGTTCCAGAAGGGGAACTGCTGTTCTTCGAGGCTATGGACCTTGTTTGCTGATGGTTGACACACTGGCCCTGCTCCCCACGTCCCTGCTGGAGAAGTGCAATGGACAGGTGCCTTGCAGCCCCACTTCCAGGGACCCCTCAGCACAGGCCCTGCCTGTTTCTGTGGTGCTTCTCACTCTGAGACCTTGTAGCCTCAGCCAGGGAAGGAGTAGGTGGGCAGTGAGCTGGTTCCTGGCCCTCTAGTGGCAAGGGGGCCTGGGTTTCCCTTTGACCCTCTTCCCCCCTTTCCCAGATCTTCAGTATTTGTTGTGATGTAACAGCCACAAGAGCTGTAAGAAGAACTATGGGCTTTGGGCACTTTCTTGGGTTGAAAGAGGGGTGGG